GAAGCACTATATGACAGAGACATCCATCATATATTTTGTGGTTATGAGCGGGAGGCTGTTGTGGCTGAGACCAGGAGAGCAGATGCAGAGGCCGGACAATTTGCTCATTATCCTGTGAGCAATTTGTCCGTGTCTGCCTGCATACTTCATTATGTGGTGACACACATTATTTTCCAGCGCCCTCATAATCACTCGAAGGTGCTGGAAGGTGACTTTGTGATCTTGTGGGCCCTCCTTCACCATATTGAGGTGAACTGGAGGCACTACATATGCATCTTGATGTGGAAGGCGGCCAAGTCAAAGAAAGCTGAATTGCCGTTTGCATTCCTGGTGCAGAAGATACCACGGACAACCGTTAGCATGGTTTCTACATTTCATAAAAAATCTTGACTCGTCACTTTTTTCAACTATGGCTGTCCTGCGCCCCTTCATTCAATGTATCTTCACAACATGTTGCATTTCAGGTTTGGAGCCAAATTCTTGTTGCACAAATAACGGATCTCCTAACTTCCAACCTCCGTGCAAGTCATCATCCTCATACAGGATCTCCAACTCGTCATTAGGGTGCGCCCAATTAATGAATGAATAATGTTGGCTTTCATTCCAAAATGGCTCTACCGCAGTCCCTGCATCTAAAGCTTCATCATTATTGTCTGAATCAATAACACCGAAAACGTATAATTTTTTAAAGCAAATGTGTAAATTTAATAACTTACCACTATTGACAGGGTGAACATGAAGTGGTGAACTGACAGGGTCAACGTGAAGTGGTGACATGGCTGGGGTACCCAGCCTTACAACGCTCGTGTCAGCGTCAAAATTTTCATCCACGTCAGTGTCAGACGAATCACCTTGTGGAATAGCACTTTCAGATTCTCCCTCATCTTCACTATCCACATACTCCTCATCTTCATCGTCTTCATCCTCATCCAATGTTACCTGAGCAGGTGCAGATTATCGTACAATTGTATCTTCTTGACCAGTACAGTGCGCAGTGGTTGTATGCACCGGTAACGATGAAGACTGACCAGCGTCAACTTCAACATATATCTCAATCATTTTTAATACTTTCCATCCAACATACGCATTTGTGACGAACTCCACATCTTCATCATCATTGATATCGTTACCAATGTAGTATATTGTATCCATATCCACTACAGTCTCTAACCTGGCTATCATGCGGTGGATGGAATGGATGCCTTTTGACCCCATTTTTTGGAGAATTCTCTCCTTCAGTTCATTGCATGTAGTGCCCACTTTGATTTTCATCGTTTTTGTTTTTCCTTCAAATTGGACACCGTTCGGACCTTCAAAATGCCTCCCATTGTAGTAAATAACTATAGGAACCATGTTAGGACTTGAACTCATCTTTCACATGAAAATCTGGGTCTAGGTTTTGGGTTTGGATCTTGGTTCGGATTTTTTAATACAAAATGGAAATGTGGAGGTGTAATGCCAATGTCCTACCAAGATTAAGCTTTTCGAGATGATGAGATGAAATATATGTGTGATTGGGGAAAAAATAACACTTAACTCGCAACAATGGCCGAAACCCTTGATATTGGGGTTTCTGGCCGATATCTACCCGGGTACCCCCATACCTACCCGGGTAAATAATTCAAGATTTTTCCAGATTGAAGAACAATACCCGGGTACCCCACTCCATACCTGGGTAGGGTTGATTTTCAAAAAAATATCCGGGTATAGAGGGGGGGGGGGGGTACCCGGGTAAGTTTCGTGATCAACGGTCAAACATGGACAGATTGGTGTTATATTTTTTTGAAGGGTTAATTTCTCGAAATAGTTTCTAATCGAGGGCAATTTGGTAAATAATTATTAATAAAGGGCTACAGTGGTCAAAAAGCCTTGACTCTGACGTATATTTCTAGGGGAATTAGTGTATCATTTTAAAGAACACAAAATTATATCATTTTAAGTGAGAGAAAGAGATAAATCATGTGAGAGAGAATGGGTGAATTTTTTTTTAAAAGTGTGAATCTCACATCTTTATGAGTGAAAGAATATAAGACGTGTCATTTAAAATGACATATCTTTTTCTCATATTTCTAAACCAAGAGAAAAACAACCTTGCCAAAAACAAAATCAAGTGAAGAAGATAAAGTTGTTTAATACTTTTCAGTAGTATTCTTTTTCATATATGATCAGTGATCAGCCGTCATCATCATACTAAAACCAAACAATTACGTTTAATATGATACTTTCTATTTGGTGTAACATCCTTGAAACAGCAAGTGGGTTGCATGATTTTAATAATGTAGTTGAGAAAAACAAAACGAAATAGTTCAATTGTTTTGTGTTAAACTCGGTCATACTACAAACTTAAATAAGGGCTTCGAGTGATTTCGCAAATGGCTTCAAACAAAAACTGAGCCGAAGATAATGTTTTAATTCTTTAGTTATATTACTTAATGTTATTAAATTATCGATTTGACTAAGGTATCAGATTATTGGTTCAATTAGTGGGTCACTGCTAACCAAGCTTGTTACCTGTCATGAATATAATTATCGGTAGCCTGACTTATTTATAAAAAATAAAAGTCTGGTTTAGCCTGTTTAAAAAAAAATAAGACAAGAAAATTTATCCAAACATAATATACAGTCAATAACATCAACAATAGTAGTAATTTCATAAATATTTATAAATTCAATGTATATCCAAACAGTATAGTATAGAACAAAATCATTCAAAAACTCTGTTTATCCAATAAAATGAGGTGAAATGGATTGAGAAGAGAGAAAAAGCTATTACAAGTAGCATTAAAAATATAAAATAAAATAAATTAATATACTTGTTCAAGTTCAGCCTAAGAGAGGCTCTAAGATCCAACTTTTGAATTGTAGTCTGAGGCATTTTTATTAAACGAGCTTTTATACATATCTAAATCTGATTCCAATAACTAATTTTAGACATATAAGTTCATGCCTTCACGAGCCGAACCAAAGATTCCTAATTTGTTTATTATCCCTACTTGCATGACTGTTAATTAATTAAACTGGAACTTACATGACTGTTAATTAATTAAACTGGATCAGTTAGTGATTCGATTCCAGTTCAACCAGTGTGATTAATTGGGTTGGGCTGATTTTAATAATATTGATATTACTTAGGCATCAAATTTTTTATACCATTTTTACAATAATTAAATATTGTTATTAACATTTTTTTTGGTATCATTAATATATGCTCTTTATTAATCAGTCATCGAAATATTGTTAACATCAGTGAAAACAAAATAATATAGATTTAAAGTATAAGAATCGTTTAACTTTTGATTATCTTAAAAGTGAATTAATTCCACCAAGAATCGAGTTCGATAGAAAGGTTGCTTTCCGTCCTTAGATCGTCCAAAACTCAAACTTGAATACAAGTTTGACATCAAGCATTCAAAACTGGCTAAAAGATGCTCAGATCAACAATTTAAAAATTGGTAAGACGCATTTATTCTTAACCACTCTCAGCATCAGTGGATAGGATCAAAAACCAAGTTGGTGGTGACATTAAACAAAAAATTAAGTCACAAAAACTAGAGTTCCCTTCCTCCTAAAACCAATGTTCTGCTTCCGGTTTTCCATTTCCTCTTTCACCCGTTTTTGTTTGTTTCCATGAAACCGTGATGACAAACCCTGAAACCGTTTCTTATCCTAATAAGCAAATAATACAGACCAAATCACCTTTCCCATTTTTTCTTTCTCTTCTTTACAACACTCACACTATATGATATAGCTAATATAAATACAAACCATTATCATTTCTCACATGAAACACAACAACAACAAAAATAAAAAAACCTTAGCCACACAAAGTCCAAGAATTCCGATGAGGATTATAGTCCAACACAGAGACTTCCACTCTGTGCTCTTCTTCCTTTTAGTATCATCTTGTTCTATGTTTCATGACACCATTGCTCAATCAAGTGAACAACAAGTAGCTCCCCCTGCTTTGAACAAAAACGCCGACGCAGCCAACGCAACGTTTCCTATGATGCTTGTGGTCTTTGTCTTCGCTTTCTTCATCACTGGCTTCCTCTCCGTTTACATTCGCTATTGTTCCCCAGAGTTCATGTTTCCTCAGAACTCCGTTCGCACCAACGGAGTTGACCCAGAAGTGCTTGCTACGTTTCCCATCATGGCATACTCCACCGTCAAGAACATCAAAACGGGTCACAACGTTGCGCTTCAGTGCGCGGTGTGCTTGGGCGAGTTCGGAGACTTTGACTCGCTTCGCTTGTTGCCAAAGTGCAGCCATGTCTTCCACCCAGATTGCATAGACGCGTGGCTCGCTTCCCACGTGACCTGCCCCGTTTGTCGCTCGAAGCTGAAGCTAGAACGTGGCCAGGTAGCTCTGGAAATCGCGGGTGAGACGAGCGCGCACCAAGTGTTTGATGAAAGCCCTGTGAGAGGAGTTGAAGTTGTTGGCGGCGTTAATGGAGTTGGGGTGAGTGGGCACGTTGATGGGTGCGTTGGGAAGGGTAATGGGTCGTCAAAGATGAGGGCTTTTGGGGTGTTGGTGAGGTCCCATTCAACGGGTCACTCTTTGGTTGAACCAGGGAGGAACATGGAGAGGTTCACTTTGAGGTTGCCTGAGGAAGTGAGGAAGCAGATTCTGGATGATTATGATAAACATGGAACTGCCACAATGATGAAGCGTTCAGCGAGCTACGACGTCGTTTTGCAGATTGAAGATGGGTCGTGTTCGGGGAAAGGTGGTGAAGGTAGCAGCAGTAATAACGGTAAGAATAACCGTTGGGTTCTCTCAGTGACACCTCCGTTTGTTTCTCGTGGTGGTGGTTCTTCGGCTTTGACACCGAATGCTTCCACCACCAGCTCTGGAATTCCAAGGTTTTGGGCTTTTTCCCTTCGAGGAGAAGACAAAGAGTCTCAGGGGAAAACAATTTTCCAAGTCTAATATGTTCCCTTAAAGGGGATGAATGTCAATATAAAGGTGTTGCAGCTAATAGAGGTAGTGATCAAATTAAAAGGCGATGTCTCAAGTATTGTTGGAATTTCAATTCCTCTTATATACTAATTGTTGGAAATCTAATGGTATATAAGAGGAATTGAAATTCCAACAATTGGTATCAGAGCCTCGTTCGATCAAAGAGGCGAATCAGAGCCCTCGATCTGAGAGCTGTGGTGAAAAGAAGTGCTGAAGCACCGTAAAAAAGAAGAGTTTCAAAGCCAGGTTCTGGAAGCCGTGATGGGGATTTCAAAATTTTATGGAAATGAAGATGAAGCTGCAAGATGGTTAATCTGTTTGAAAGAATATTTTCAGGCAGAGAAAATCGATGAAGATGAAAAGGTGATGGAAGCTATAAAAAGGCTCAGAAGCAGCGCGTTTCATTGGTATCAACAGTGGTATCTAAGATGGCTATGGTTCGGTTATGATGCAAGCTGGAAGGACTTTGAGAAAGCGTTCAAAGCAAAATATCTACCTAAAGTTTATCTTATTGATGATGAGACAGAATCAAACAATCCAGAATCAGAACTCGATATCCAGAATGAATTGGAGTCAGAAAAATCAGAGACTTAAGAAGAAGAAATTGAGAGATAGAAAAGTGTCGTAGCACTAAGGTAAAGAAAGAATGAGATAGATGTGTGTGTTAGTGATAATAGTTGAATGATAGAAAGAGTGAAGGAAAGAAAGTGCCGCAGCACTTAGAAGAAAAATAGAAAGAGAGAGTTCTATTAGTGTGTGAGAAAAATAGTATTGAAATACTATTAGAGAGAAGAAGAGAGAGTTTGAGAAAGAGTTATTTTGAGAGAAAAATTAGTCACAGTGTTGTAACACTTGTGTTCTATATTGTGTTTTGTTTCTATATAAAAGTTTGATATTATTCTACTTGTTTTTCTTATTCCATCTCCAACGAGTGGTATCAGAATATACCATTAAATTTTCAATAATTAGTATCTGAGGGAATGAAAAATTTCCAACAAGTATAAGGTCAACAGCTGCACTGGGTGTGTGTGTGAGAGCAAAGGCTCGAAGGAACGGCAGAGTAACGGTACATAAGGAATGATTTCCTTGCTTGGTGATTGAAGAGTATTTATAGTGGGGAAGATGCCCTACTGGCATGCAAGGGCGAACCGGGTCAACTCTTCTTAGGGAGGGTCATGGGCGCTTGTCACTGATGTTGTGGCAGCAGCGTAGCCCCTACTATGCTGGTGGCAGTCGCTGTTGCTGTAGCTGTGGGAGAAAAACTCCTATTTAGGAGGTCTGGGAAGGCTACCCGGGGAAGGTAGTATCCTGAGGTAAGACATTTTGGTGTCTCGCTTTAGGAACGTTGTCCTGTGGGGACAGAAAAGGTGGAGGGTCGGTAACCCTTAGCCAACAGGACTGACCTGGATGAGTGGGAGGGATCTAGGCTTGCCTCAATGGGCCGATCGATTGGAGCCATCCATAACAGTTCTAAAAACTTAATTGGACTGATCCGTTGAATTGTTTCATGTTGTGAATAGAGTAATATTCCGATTTAAATATTATTTGGTCAATTATAATTTAATCACAAATTTAATTTGTTAAATTAAATTAGCGTGTCTTACACTTTCTCATTGTCATGAGACTAGAATATAGTTGCTATGATCTAATAACCCCAACTTGTCTAACAGAAAGTACTTCCCACGGGATAAAGATCTGCCAAGAGTTCCTCATTTGATATCAACACCAAGCAGATGAGATCATGAGAGTAACCATTTCGTTTTTACCATTTCATTTATATATTACCTCACAACACATCTTGTATCTTTGCTAGTTTTAACAAAATGTTCTATATCCTAGTTCATTGTATAGTCATCATTATGCATAAACAATAGTTACTTCTGACAAGTGGATTTCTTAGATTTTATAAGCTTTATCCGGGAATTACAGTTTGCCATATATCTTTATTTGATTTACTCGAACTTCTGATGATTCAGTTCTCCATGGTCATTCACTTTTATTAGGGTTCTTAGTTCCATCTACGATTCATTATACATTCTTTTGTGTGATGAGATTGGAGCTTTTTTTTTATGATCGGTGGAATATTCAATGTAATGATGATTAAAAATGCAGCAATATAAATCTAAGTTTAGTAGAGAGTCATCGTGAATATAGTCTCAAGCGAAGGCCAAGAGCAAATGGGATGGTGCTTAAGGGGTACGGTGGCTTTAGGTATATTTCTACAGAGTAACAACTCTATTGGTAGTGTATAAAATGTGTCTATTTAATGGTTAAAAATGAGTATATAAAGGTAGAAAAAAATTCTCCAATAATGAGTGAAAGAAACAACATAATTGTTTTGCTCCAGTGGATCCTATGTTGTGAGGTAGAGAGTAGATTCTCTCATGTATTCATTAACATGACTGTTATGTTGAGGAATTATAAACATACAAATGTTTTAACAAAAATGATATTGTTAACAAGTTGTCATGACTAAATTACTTATTCTTTAATAAATTAATTTTAAAGTTATTACATCAAAATAAAATCTATGATAAATTTAAACAAGCTTTGGATAATTGTTACGACTTCGGCAAGTGCATCGGTCGTAAAAGTAATAAAGTGTACTGAGTACGAGATCAATTCCACGAAGATTAGAATTTCAAGCACTAATTTGCTATTTACGCTTAAGTTGGACAATCAATTAAGAGAATTGAACAAAATTGAAAATTAAACTAAAAGTAACAAGCAAGAAGATAAAATATGAGTTTCTTAACAACCAAGAAAGCACAGTTAGGGATTCGACTTCCCCCAATTTTTCTTTTATGTTCTGAATTAAAACCTTAATTAATCAACCTTTTTTATATTGTCCATCAATTTTCCTAAATTAATTAAGACATAATCCCTTGACATCCTAATTCTTTACTTTCTTTAAAGAATCATAGTTCCCCGGTTGTTCTTCAAAGAAAATAAGCATTAAATTCAAGAATCATAAAGATGGCACAATTCATATGTATATTCGTAGAATCATGAATGAGTCAAACCAAATTCATATACCAACATTCATATTGTCATATACGAATCCTAATTCAATCTACAAGAACAACTCATAGAAGGCATTAAGCAAAAACACATTCAGTCAATATAAAAAGGGAAAATTACATTAAAGATTAATTCAGAAACATAAAGATTCAATGGGTTCCATCTAGCCCTAACTACAAAGAAAATCTAGCCTAACATGGTGAAATCAAGAATACAAGAAAGCTTCCACAAACTCCATTGATGTGATGGCGCGGTGAATCTTCAAGGTTTCTGTAACACCCCGTGTATACCCGGTTTGTTAACATATCATCGTATTAAGCCACACTTAATTAAAAATGCGGAATATATTTTTCTTTTCAATTATGACGTATGTTGTCGGATTAGCAAGTGCACTAGTCAAACAAGTAATAAAATGATTAGTAAAGATCGTTCCCACGAGAATTTGTGTTCAAGCACCAACTAACCATATATACTTAAGTTGAATCAACCAAAAGATTATTAATTGCATTGATTTCTTGTCACCAGAAATTTAGTTGAATTGCATAAAAACTAGATAAACAGATAAAATGTGATTATAAATTTAAACAAGTAGTCAGATGTCAATTTCCCTGAAGCATGAATTTATGGATGAACCAATTTCCATTACGAATTATCTACTATGTGATGTTGATCAACCTTTTACTTATCATCAATATGTAATGTCTTACTACCCTGATTGATACATTAATCAGAAACCCCAATGTCTTGGTTGTTCCCTTCTTAATACATGCATTAATTACTAAGGTCTTAAGATCACATCAGAAATCCTAGCATCAATGTCTTGACTACTAGAATTCTGATAAAGATAGAGAAACAATGTAAACATGTCTGTTCTACACTATTTATCATCATGAAGAATTAATCAAGACAACTTCATAAAATCACATAATAGATAAACAAAACATCTAATTAACCATTCATAAATTCAAACTTGAGTTCCATTGAATCAGACTACAAAGGACTCTACTCAGACATAATTGAAATACAAACAAAGGAAGAGAAAGATCAAACTTCATTGTCATGATAGTTGAGTCTTCAATCTTCAAGTACAATTACATAAAGAAGTACTAACTATTACATAAACTAATACTAAGGAATTTGGAAATTCAGAGAGAATGAGGAGTCAGATCACATCTATGAAAGATCTGATCTGATCTCTCCTCTCCTAGTGTGATGGGAAAGGTCATATTAGAATCTGAGAGAGAGAGTCTAATAATGTCCAAATGTGAAGGCCCTTGCCTTATATAGAGTTACAAAATACAACTGAATAACAACCAGAAACTGACATGGGCGCTAAAACTCTCATTCTTGGACGTTTTAGCGCTTAACTTGGACGGATGAGCAACCACTTTTAACTGTCTTGGGCGCTAAAACATTCGATTTGGGCATTTTAGCGCTCAGCACCAGAACCTTTTCACACAGCGGGGCGCTAAAATGTTCGATTTGGGCATTTTAGCGCTCAACACCAGCATCTTTTTGAACAGCAGGGCGCTAAAACTCTTGACTTTGGGCGTTTTAACGCCCAACACTTAGAATTTTTCCATTCTTCAGAATTTTCTTCCTTCTCTCTTTTGCTTCATTGAGCTTCATTTTCCTACAAAAACAATGTAAATTTTCAACATAAGCTTCAGAACTTGTATTTGAGAGATTTCCAGGACATTAACCTCTTTTCCATCCATTTAATCACACAAATTGATATTAATTCATGCTTAAAAACCTGATGAACCAAGGGTTTATCACAATTCCCAGATTTGAACATTGCTGTCCTCAGCAATGAATTAAAAACAGAGAAGAAATTGAGATTCTTTACAAATGAAATTCATCAGGATAGACTTCAATTAACAAAAGATCAACATTTCATGATACAAGCTTATAACCATGCAATCTCTTATTTCCTATCATTTGCCCAACATCATTTATGATTTTTCAACAGATCAGTAGAGATTATATATAGAGACTTCCAAACAAAAACACCCCCTC